ACACAATCGTTGGATCCCGAAGTGATACGAACCTAAAAGAAAAGAAAAGTCGTAAAGAAGGATCATCCAGAAGAGATTGATCCCGAAGAGCCACGAACTGAAGAAAAACAAAATTTAATTAAGTCAGTTAATGCTATCACAAGTAACAACAACCCGAAGTTATACTTACCGCCCAACCGGCCCAGGACGTTCTGAAATCGTCGAAGTCACCCAAACTCGAATATACTCACCTATAGAAAGAAGAACGGTTACGGTTATAACGGAAAGACTGCCACGGATTACTGAAATCATCAGCCTACTTAACGAGAGCCAACGGCATCCAAGAAACGTGGGACCCGTACGAGTATACCGACCTAGACCGAACTAAAAAAAAAAAAATTAGTTAAAAGATTGATTAGACAATATCAATTGTTAAAAATAATTAAAATAATAATAAGTTAAATAATCTGGAAATAAAAGAGAGACCCAACGCCAATCAGAAGTCCGGAGGAGGACGAATCATCACGTTGGCAGCCAAGAAAAAAAACTTAAAGAACACCAAGACCAACTCTAATAGTAAATATTAAAGGAAGTATAACATAAACGGAAACCTCAACAAGGCAATCACCATCCTGGCGACTTTTACTAAAGAAGCTCAGGAGAAACAACAGGAGCTATACCAGCAACTAATAAAACGATATAATTGCGAAGACAACAAAGAACTTTCTGAACTATTCGCTCGATATTTTCATACTCGCATTGACCACCACACGAAGGAAAAGCAACTATACCACGTTATCCGATTACGCCTTCGTTTAGTTTTAGAAATAAGGACCCAACTGACTATAAACGAAAGCAAGAAAGCCACCAGAGAATTCGACGAGCTAATTTACGATTGGTGTCAAGAAAAATTTAACTTAGTCAACGGATTAACGGACAAAGAAGAAGAAGAATTAAATAAAAACGAGACTCACCAGGCAAATATCACCGTCCTTAGATCCGATAACGACGAATCAGAAGATCACGAAAGCACTAACGGAAGCATACTTACTGACTTATCAGAAGGAGAACAGGCGTTACGACAAAGGGTCAAAGCAACAACCCGAGAAGCAAGAAAAACCTTAAGGACTCGCTCCCAACTTACTGAAAAGACACTCGCCAGTATAACCGAAAAAGAAGAAGAGGGATTAGCCAAGGATAAAGAGCACGAAAAACAGGTAAGAAAAATAATCGAAAAACAAGACCTACTAACCAAGGAATTCGAAGAGTTATTTCCCTCCGAAAAACAATCAACCGCCCTCCTAAGTCTAGGAACGATGAGTAAGACTATCACGACCATCTCGGAAAAGAATGAATTTGGTTACGATGCAGAACAGGAAGACGAAGGCTCTAAACAAACCAAGGAAAAAGGAAAACAGTCCTCTGAAAAGAAGAACCTCCAGGGATTCCGACAGAAGGTGGCAGAGATGGGAGAAGATGACGGACCGGGTGATGAATCGGATCACGACGAATCTGATGATAATTACATACCATTACGAAGACTTGCCCGACTCCAAGACCATACCCAACGACGAGGACCGGCAAGGCCAAAGGAATATAAACTACCCGTATTCCGAGGCAATGACGAAGATGATGATCCAATGGAGTGGGTTATGGAAACAACGAAGATTGCTGCCGCCAATGGATGGGATAGGGAAACACTCGCCACCCGAATTCCGCTGGCTATGAAAGATACGGCCAATGAGTGGTATGAAACGCTCCCTGAAACAACCATCGAGGATACTGACCTCTTCATCAAGGCCTTCCTCAAGTTTTTCATGGGAAAAGCCTCCACCGCCAAACTACACGCAAAACTTGCAACCATCCGAAAAAGTCCCACCGAAAACATAACTAAATACTATGACGAATTCTCTAAGCTACTTAGACGAGCGGATCCAACTGGCAAATACTATACCGAGCAGCAGAAAGTCGACATGTTCGTAAGAAGCCTGGATCATAAACTGCGGAAACGAGTATATGATCCAAAGATCAAAACGATGGAAAAGGCGTTTAAAGAAGCCAAGGACGCGGAAACCGTACTGGCCTACAGTACGTTTACAACAAGTGTCAATGCCACCCTCGAAGGAAAAAAGGAAACAAAAGAAATAAAAAAGGATAAACGGGTATCTACCTTAGAAAAGGCCGTACAAGCCCTGCTAGTCCAACAAGCGACGCCGACGAGGACAATTACTCCTTCCAACCCAAAAACCACAGGAAAAACCTGTTACTATTGTGGAAAAGAAGGACACTTTGTTAGAGATTGTCGAATCAAACAGGCAGATCAACGAAGAAATCAATACCAAAAGCCGAACACTTACCCGAACAATCCGTCTGCGAAAAATCAACAGCAATACTACCAGAACGGACCCAAACGGCAACAGCAGGTTGTGTACGTTCCCGTATATCGAAATAATAACGGAAATAAGAATGGATATCCCAGACGAGACAACCAACAGAAAACACCACAAAAACAAACACAGCAAAACAAACCACAATCAAGTGGACAACAGCAAACTTATCTTGTGGAAAGGCAATTAGCCTCTGAGTCCGAAACAGAGTCCGGAACCGGAGAAGATGAGGACGGATCCGACGATGAAACGATGCCGACTATGCTAGTCGAGGTATCGGAACCCCCACAAACGACTAAAGAAACATACCATTGGTTAAAATCGCGATATCCAAAGGTAACAACAAGAGAACAAGAAAATCGCCTACCTCATATTTGCCCATCCAACTATTGGGGAGATTCGCCGCACAGAGGCAATCGTTGCTCCGCTTGCCAGGACGTTCTTAAAATTATTGAAATAGAAAATTACTACGAACAAAAAGAAGGTAACCGGGAATATTGGCTGCACCACTGTCGCTGTCATTGGTGTCGCGATCGACTTAAGGAAAGCCACGAAGGATGTCCTACTTGTAATCCAAACAGTCGGGAACCAAACGATGATGATAAACCCCCACCAAAGACAAAACCGAAGATGGAAACAGTAGTCGCCACAACCAAAACAAAAGGAAAAATGACGGCAATGACGATCGAGGCAAAGGTGGATAATAAAGCAATAAAGTTAATAATCGACTCCGGCTCTGCAGGAAGTATCGTCACCACCAAACTCCTCGAAAGAATAAATCGAAAAGCCCAACGATCCTCCGCCACTGAAATTATCACGGCAAATGGCACACGAACCGTCTCTTTAGGAGAAATTGATGATTTTCCGTTTGAAATTGAAGGCATTGTCGTGCCTATCAAAGTATTAATAATCGACGCCCCACAGTACCAGGCTTTGGTAGGAAACGACTGGATGAAGAAAGCGAAGGCGCAGTTAGATTGGCATGCAAATTGGATGACAATCCACTACAACGGGAAAGAAGCAACCGTACCAATCAACTTCGAGAAAAAACAGAAGTCCGGATACGACCCATACGCGCCAATAATCGAGTACGAGAACTTCGCCTTTACTCAAAGTGGGCAGAAACGACGAGAAAGGAAATTAACCCCGACGAGAGGAAAGAATCGATGGATACCACCTCGATTAGAATGTCATGAATGCGGAAGGAAGTTATCCCAAATGTCCGCCACCATTGACCCAAACGAGGAGTGGGGAAAAGAAACAGCATATTTTTGCAAACGATGCAGTAACAACTGTTTCGGATACATCGAACAACCCGCTGGCACAGGACTCTGGGACGGAACGAACTGTTTACTATGTGGAACCCTAATGCCGACAAAATACGATTGGGAAGATATTCCTGGCGTAGGAGGAGTGTGTGATCAGGACTGCAAATACGCCTATCTGATCCGACGATGGTGTAGCCAAGGAACACCGTTTCAAGCTGCCTTCTACAGAGCTTGCGACCGAATGAATCGAGAACCTGAAGAAAACGAGAAAGTTAGGCAATTAGCCTTAAAATTTGTAGAAGCAGCACCGATCGAAGAAATCCGACAGATGAAGGACGAAGAATACTTCACCTTTGTCGACGAGATCGCCGATTACGATTGGCTTGACGATCAGGGGATATTTCAGGAAAACTACCAACGATTGGCGCCGACCAAAGAAAGACAAAAGAAAAAGCTTGACGAAATGAATATTCGGCTATGTAACGAATGCCTAATGCCGTGCCAGGACCAATATTGTGATGGATGTTACCCCGAAATGATACCTATACCAGCAGAAGAATGGAATGAAATAATGGATTGGTGCGACCAATTGGAATCATGGGAAGACGAAGTTACCTATAAAAACCGACTTCCACGCCGAACCAAACCGCTTCAAGTCGACTGGTTCGATTCCCTCCGACAGACTGATGTGTGGGACGAGAGAAACCAAGGAATGAACGATTGGTTCACCGAGGTGGAACAATATTACACTGAACCAATGGATTGTCCGATTCCGCCTGAATTCACCAAATACGAACCACTACAACCAAAAAGAAAGAAACGATCGATAAAATGTTATGTTGAAAACAAAGAAGCAACCTTACCGACCAAAGCCTACAAAACCGACGCTGGATTCGATCTATATTATCCAGGCAAAGAACCATTTGTCTTACCGGCTGAAGAAACCACAGTAATCGACTTAGGAATTGCTGTGGAAGTTCCTAAAAACAGCCTGATGCAATTAGCATCAAGGTCGTCGCTCGCAAAGAAAGGAATAACCGTCGAAGGAGGAATTGTTGATGCAGGCTACGTTGGAAATCTACAAATTATATTAAAAAACGGATCCAGGAAAGGATATAAAATATTACCTCAAGAACGGATTGGTCAAGCCCTCTACCTGCCAATCCTACCAATAACAAAAATGATACCGGCAGGGACGCGTGCCGAATTGAAAACGGGAAAACGAGGCCGAAAAGGTCTCGGATCCACGGGAAAAATCGAACAAATGACCAGTCTGGTAGATATCCCTGAAGAGAATGGCGATGACATAATCCGAGGAAAACCTGTTCTATTAGAACGAACCATCGCGATCTACCCGAAAGGAATGATTGTATGGGAAAATCGGGACAAAGAAGCCGTTAGTTCTAAAGCGCTTCTATTTGAACCGAATCACGAGCTGTTCACTAAATATGGGGTTATATGTAGTCACCAATACATAGCCCCCGGGAAACAACACAAACTCCAGCTTACTTTAATAAACCAGCGAAACCAAATCGTCATACTGGAAGAAGGAACGATTCTTGGTTATTTGGAGGACGATATCCAACAGCTACAGGCCTTTTACTCCATAAATGACATGGCTCGATATTTCCAAATAAAACCAAAGAAATTAAAGAAACGCAAAACAACAGAAGAAACTGAAACCTACACACTAATGGCCAACGATTTACCAAGGGTTAGTATTGGAGAAGTAACGGACAAACAACGGAAGCAACTACATCAATTACTGTTGAAATATGCAGGACTATTCGCGACCGATGACAATGAAATGGGAAGAACTAATAAAACACGACATAGGATCGATACTGGGGACGCTATGCCAATTAGGCAGCGGGCATACCGAGTACCACCAAAGTCGTCAGAATTTATCGCCCAGGAAATTGAACGAATGCTCAGCAATGGGGTAATCCGCCCATCAACCAGCCCTTGGACATCACCGGTCGTCTTAGTTAAAAAGAAAAACGGAAAGTTACGCTTTTGCGTTGACTACCGGAAACTAAACGCGGTAACTAAAAAAGATGCCTACCCGTTGCCACGGATCGACGAGATCCTGGACTCACTAGGAGGATCACAATGGTTTTCAACATTGGACTTGGCCAGTGGTTATTGGCAGGTCGAAATGGACCCAGACAGCCGCGAAAAGACAGCTTTCATCACCCAACAAGGAATCTACGAGTTCAACGTAATGCCTTTCGGCGTAACAAATGGACCAGCTACCTTCCAGCGACTCATGGATACGGTATATTCCGGCCTCGCTTGGACCTTTCTAGTTATCTATCTTGACGACACCAATATCCATTCACCGTCATTTGGAAGCCATCTGGACCACTTGGAACGAACCTTCCAGAGACTACAGGAGGCAGGATTACGTCTGAACATCGATAAGTGTCACTTTTGCAAGGAACAACTTGAGTTCCTTGGCCACATTATAACACGAAACGGAATTCGACCAGACCAAGCCAAAATAAAGAAGGTAAAAGAATTTCCCCAACCGACGAACATAACCGAACTGCGAGGATTCCTGGGGTTAGCTTCGTATTACAGACGTTTCATAGAAGGATTCTCCAAAATCGCAGAACCAATGCATAAACTATTAAAGAAAGATCAACGATACAACTGGAAGGAAGAACATGAGAAAGCGTTCCAAGAATTAAAAAGACAACTAATTAGTGCACCTATTCTATTATATCCGGATTACAAGAAGAAATTCATCCTCGCCACCGATGCGTCGAAGCTTGGATTAGGCGCTATACTCTCCCAGCTCGATTCAGAAGGAAAAGAACGACCCGTCGCATACGCGAGCAGAGGATTATCGCCTGCCGAACAAAACTATGCAGCCCACGAAATGGAATGTCTCGCTGTAATCTGGGCTGTCAAGTATTTCCGACAATACTTGTTAGAACAGAAATTCGACCTAATTACCGACCATGTTGGATTAAAATGGTTTATTACCAAATCTAATCCAACCGGAAGAACGATGCGATGGATCGCTACCCTTCAGGAATATGATTTTGAAATCATCTATAAACCAGGCCGAAAACACTCTAACGTCGACGCCCTATCTCGGATTCCCCACGGACGAACACGACTCAACAACCAAACACAACCTACACCCGACGAACAACAACTTTAAACCATGGAACAAAGCCTATATAACATTTGGATAAATTATATCAGAAACCGGACAACATTGGCGAAATTATCGCCCGAACAGCAGAAGTATATACAAAAATACAAAAATAATTACCTTATCCTCGAAGACAA